CTCTGCAAATGCCCCTCACAAATAGGGACCAATAAAGGAGACCACATAGTGTGATACCGTAGGGAACTTTATTCCATCAAATGAGAAGTGCAAATGACAAAGTGAAAAAAAGGAAACAAAACACTGACCATGTAATAGGGATGCAGGATGGCCACCAGTGGTGGCTAGACGTCCAATTGCTGTAGCCCCCTGACTTTCTCATGTTGCACAATTTTAAAGAGACTGCATCTTCTCATTTTCTTTTAATATTGACGAGATTTACGCTGTATATTTAGTGTTTAGCGCTGCACCTTTATATTGAGATTTACATTGGAAGATTCTGTTTGGTTACCTTTTTTGTTGTTTCAGCTGCTATTTTTCTTTTGGATAGCGCTCGCATATCTACTCTTTACATATATCATAAGAGTAACCCCACTCTTGGAGTTACTCAGCATTTACTACCATCAACATGTATGGTTCCTATTATTTACCATCTCCTCAAAATACATACAAATATGGACAAACCTACGAGGAGACCGGTTATAAATGGTGTTGGTTCTATCAGTTATAGAATTGGTAAGTATATTGATCATTATATCAAACCTTTGTAAAGTTCCAAGGAAGCATATCTCAAAGATACAAAGCACTTGCTACAAATTTTCAAAGGAATGAGATGTGATAACCTATGTTTATTGATAGCTGTAGATGTTTTATCGATATATATGATTATCCAACATGATGATGCATTATCTTCAGTTAGATGGAAAGCATGGCCTTAAACATACTTTTTTTGGTATGATAATTGTTTTTATGGACCGTCTATGGAGTAGCAATGGGAGCCTGTTTCGTTCCCACCGTGGCAAATATTTTTGTTATAGTACTTTATTATTGAAAGCTTTTTATGAATTAATTTTAGTGAGGGTAGCTCTGCACATATTTTGTTATTGGTACACATTGAGGTGGAGAGTTCTCACTTCCAAGTGCCAGCATGCTCCCTGGTGTGATTGTGATGCTCAGATTGATATTTGTTATTTCATGTTGAATAAGGCTCTCAGTCTTCAGTATGTGACTTGTTACATTATGTTTAAAGAGAAAACTTTCCATCTACATGCAGACAAGGCTTTGCCATCCATGGTTTTTGTATTTGTAACAGAATAGTCATACTGAGGTTGATTTAATAAAGGAAATAGATTGTACACTTTACAATGAAGTTACACTGTGCAAGGAATTTTCCTAAGAGCTTAGTGAATGAGGTGAAGCTCTGTTGACTTCCATCATCCAATCACATGCAAGCAAAAATGCTATTTTTTTTCCTTTCACATTTCATCACATTCACTAAGCTTGTGATAACTTTCCCTCTGTCTCATATACAATAAAAGTTTCTTGTCTTCCTATTCAGAATCTTCTTTAGTGTGTACACTTAAGCCTATTTCACATGATCAGAAAATTGTATGAAAAATACCTCTTTTGATGAGATCGTACGATAATCTGACCATTAGTACACAGCTTTCATTCAAATTAGTAGGGAAAAGCACAAAATATTTTCTTGAACAACACCAGATCGTACAATTTTCATTTAGTCAATATAGTTTTTGTCCAAAAATACAATACAAATACATTACATCACTTTTGAATTCTTATTCTGTCGTACGAGAATTTTCATAGCTTTAGTAACCACTTCACTTTTATTATGAGACTAGCATGCAAAAAAAACAGACAATCATTTGTCCGATATAGGCAGAGTTTAGTTCTGCTAAAAAAATTAAAAACAGAGAATACCAATGTGGTACAATAAAATCTCAAAATTTATAAAAAAATATGGTTGATTATAAACTCACAAATATGAAAAAGTTTACCGCTTTCAATAGGTTCTGGAGCATCCTTAGCATAGCCTAGACTGTATGAGCCTAAGGTGTGTGTACTGGATGACTTATACCTTCATATGTTCCTCACTCCTTCCTTAACTCCTTCTATTCTAGAACTCTGTTAGTCCTCATCAGGGATTCTTTTTTCAGAGAATAGGTGCAGGAACTCCCCCCTTCCAAGCAACTCCTTATCCCCGCTCTCCACCTACCATCGAGTATTGTTTCTTAGTTTCACCCCCTACCTACCTTCCAGTACCACCCCTTTTTCAAAATACAGAACAAAGTATCATTGTGTGGTGCTAATTTGGGATTTGTTAATGATAACAAAAAACAGTAAAATAGATCCCCTGCAGCAAGCAACAATAGACCCCCCCAAAAAAAGTGCACACCCAGCAACAATAGATCCACACCAGCAGCAATAGTTCTTCCAGCAACAATAGATCCACTTACAACAAAATAACAAATTCCAAATTAGCACCACACAATAATGTGGTGCTAATTTGGAATTTGTTAATGATAACAAAAAAACAGCAAAATAGATCCCCTGCAGCAAGCAACAATAGACCCCCCCCCCCCCAAAAAAAAAATACACACCCAGCAACAATAGATCCACACCAGCAACAATAGTTCTTCCAGCAACAATAGATCCCTGTACAACAAAATGACCCCTCAACAACAATAGACCCCCTTCAGCAACAATAGATCCACCCAGCAACAATAGACACCCTTCAGCAAAAATAGATTTGTCAGCAGCCAGCAACAATAGACCCCCTGCAACTAAATGCCTCCAGCAACAATTGATCTAACCCAGCAGAAATAGATCCTCCCCAGTAACAATACACCCCCCCAAGCAATAATAGACCTCTTCGGAAACAAAATACCTTCACTTTCCAGCACAACCCAGCACTCCTTGCTATTACATACATTCTGTGCTGAAGGTGCCGGAACTGCATTCCCCCACATTTCTGCTGAAAAAAGCCTTGGTCCTTGTCTAGATATATTCTGCTCTTCCAAATGTTAGCTATGTCTTCTTAGGCCCGTTTCACAAGGGGAAGATCCTCTTTGCTCAGCAGGAGATCTGTCTGTTGATCTCCTACTGATCAGAGCAGAGCAGGAGGATGACAGGTCACTCAGTTTATGCACTATGGGACAGCTCATCCACTTACACCCAGCTACCTCTGATCTGCCTACACAGAAGAGGACAGATCCTCTTCCGTTTGTTTTTGGCAGACCAGATCAGATCAGAGGTAGGTGGGTGTAAAATGGATACAACTCAATTTAAAACCTCTGATCCGTAGAAATGAATGGACCATCCTATCGGGTCTGCCTGAAAAACTGACAGCCAGACCTGATTGGAGCGGTCGTGTGAGAGGAGCCTTATGCTTCCCTTGCAGTACTTGATCAGTTATGGCTAGTCCTCCTTATAAACTCCTCTCTTCATTTTTTTAAATTTAGTTGAATGTTAATAGTTCCCCCAGACTCCAACATCTGCCTTGCTCTGTTATCTTTCAAACCCTCAGCTAAGTATTTGTTTGCAGTTCTTTACAATGTCCACTTTACCTTGCCATTTATTATCAGTAACATCCTTATCATTTATTCTTGTCACTGAATGTTCTTCTCCCCGTGATTACACCGCCTACAGACTGAGTGTCTACTGTATGCTTGATATGTTCATTTTTTTCAAACGTGAAAAGAACTTTCTTTCACATGACTATTGTTTTAAGTTTTACATTAGGAGTACTCATTGTAGTTAATTATAAGAAATGATGAGTTGAAATATAAACCTTAGAAATCATTATTATATCACACAAATAGGCTAAACTAATGCACTAAACTATAATGCCTGCGTTACTTAGCACAACAATAGTTTAGGTATTTTTAGCACTGTGACTCTAAAGCCGGCCATACATGGATCGAAATTCAGCTGCTTCAGCAGAGACTAGACAATTTTTGATCCATGTATGGGGACAGTGGTTGTATAGAAGTCTACCTACCAATTGACTTCTGTACAATCAGCCTGTCGAATAAATGCCACTCAATCAACGTCACTGGTGTTGGTTGACTGAAAAAAATAATCATCTATGGGCTGCTTTAGTTTAAGCTCTAATTGGCCTACATTGCTGAAAATATGGATAGTTATGGCAAAGACCCATTATTATTATTTATAGGAAAGGGGACCCAAACCAAATCACTTATGCATTGAGACTTTGTTCACCTTATCCACTACTGTTGGCACAATAAACTGTAAGTTTTTTTTTTTTTCAAACAGCCTAAGAATTTTTTTAACAACCCACCTGCACCACTTTCCAATAAAAAAATTGCCACTGTAACATTTTCACTTCATTTTTACTGTCTTTTTAGCACTCAAACTTTTAAAAGAAAGAAATATTTACTGTTGTACTGACTTGCAGTGTTTCATTTTATTTCCACACTACCTCCTCAAATTTTTTTTTGCATTTATTCGTGCTTTTTGCTTTCCTAAAATACAAAACATTTTTACAACATTTAACACACAAGAGTGGAAGCAAAATGGGCAGTAATGGACATAACAAAATGTTACACATTTAAGAGAATCTTCATTCCCCCCAAAAAATTAAAGGTCAGCAGCTACAAATAGTGTAGCTGCTAACTTTTAATAAAAGGTTCTTTGCCAATCTTGGGTTTCCGGCACTGGCATTATTAACCACTTGCCTACCAGGCACTTATACCCCCTTATTTACCAGGCCAATTTTCAGCTTTCAGCGCTGCCGCACTTTGATTGACAATTGCGCGGTCATGCAACATTGTACCCATATGAAATTTTGATCATTTTTTTCTCACAAATAGAGCTTTCTTTTGGTGGTATTTAATTGCCACTGGGCACTTTACTTTTTGCGCTATAAATAAAAAAAGTGCAAAAAATTTGAAAAAAAAAAAGTTTCTTTGTTTCTATTATAAAATTTTTCAAACAGGCATTTTTTCTCCTTCACTGATGTGCGTTGATGGGGCAGCACTGATGGGCACTGATAGGCGGCACTGATGGGCACTGATAGGCAGTACTAATGAGATGGCACAGATAGGCGGCACTGATAGACAGCACTAATGAGGTGTCACGGATAGGCGGCACTAATATGCAGCACTGATAGGCTGCACTGATAGGTGACACTGATGATGGGTACTGATAGACGGCACTGACTGGCATCACTGCTGGCACTGAATGGCGGCACTGACTGGGCAACCCCTGGGCACTGATGGTGGCACTGACTGGCAGCACTGCTGGGCTGCACTGGTGGGTGGCACTGGTGGGCAGCACTGGTGGGTGGGCACAGGTGGGTGGCACTGGTGGGCACAGGTGGGTGGGCACAGGTGGGTGGCACTGCTGGGCACAGGTAGGTGGCACTTCTGGGTACAGGTGTGTGACACTGCAGAGTGGCACAGGTGGGTGCACTGCTGGGCACAGGTGGGTGATCTGCTGGGCACAGGTGGGCGGAGCTAGTGGGCGCACTGCTGGGCACAGGTGGGCGGAACTTGCGGGTGGCACTGCTGGGCACCGATCATCAGGGCACTGATCATCAGTGCCCTGATGATCGGTGCCGATCCCCGCTCTGACATCTGCCGGTTCTCGGCAGTACTTTACTCACGATCTGACAGCGTGAGGGAAATGTGCAGCCGAGAACCAGCACTTGCATTTCCCTCTGATCAGCGTGTCATTGGACACCGCTGATCACGTGGTTAAAGGCCGCTGTGATTGGCCTTTTACCACATCACGTGATCAGCTGTGTCCGTAGGACACAGCGATCACGGAGATCGCCGGGTGCGCGCTGGGGCCCAGGAGAGCGCGTTCTGGGAGGACGTCATATGACGTCCACTCAGAACTGGCCGGCCGCAGTGCAGCCGTCATTCGGCTATCTGCGGTCGGCAACTAGTTAATAAGGGAAGCCAGCTGTAACTTCTTGTGGCATCACATCCAGCTTCCCACTTGTGTGAGGCGTACAGCGCTTTGTGAATGGCTCCACAGCCTTCTTGGACTTGTGACATGTTCCAGAAGGCTGTGGGCAAAGGGGGGTGAACTTCTGCTCAGATCACCTAAGTGGAACTGGGAGCAGCTGAAAATGTGGAGGATAAAGGAAGGAAGAGAAGGAGAAATTAATTGAGGAAGGAGAAGGGCGGATAAGAATGAGAAAGGGTAGAAAGAGATAAGACAAATGAATGAAATGACAGGAGAAGAAGTATGGAAGAGCAAAATGATTAAAAAAGGGGAACAGGTGGGAAGCATGAGTGAGACACAAGGCTGACACGTAACGCTGAGTGATGCTGATATGTAATGCAGTTGTTTGACATTGACAAGCTAGAATAACATAGAGGTTTGCTAAGTATTGAGCAGAAATTGACAATCTTGGGAGGGCTACTGGGAAGGATGAGTATCCAGTTTGTTGACGACAACTATGTAGCTGAGTAACTGACATGGGACCATAGTTTACCAGACCACGGAGTACAACTGACTGAGTATTGTGGGATTTCTGTAGAGATCATTGATCTTGCTGACTGCTATCTCTGACTTGTTGGACTTCTTGAATCTCATCACTTGCTTGACCTGACCTTGCTAGAATGCCTCCTGCCATAACCTTGGTTGGATTATTGACTACATGGCTGCTCAACATTTTGGCATAGATGCTCAGCAGTGATCTTTGCATTTCAACAACAGTTCCTAGCTCACCTTTGCTTGGAAAATACCTCTTCCCCTTGAAGTTATCAGTTAGGATAATTATTTAAAACAATTAGCCACAAAATTCTCTCCAATATATAAAGGGCTATGCTGTCAACTGTTTACAAAGATCGATGATAAGAACCTTAGTCTTGCAAACACTGAGAACGAGGCTATTTTTTTCACCATATACTTAACCTCCCTGTAGGCTAATTCATTGTTACTATGAATCAGGTTAATAATGGTATTATCATTGGAAAACTTAAAGATGTTTGATACTTGATCTTTTCTTTATACCAGTAATGTAAAATTAGGAGTGACAGGAGTCATAACTGTAATGGAACTAAACTCAATAGTCAGTGTTAGCCTTTACCACTAGCAAAGTGCATGCAGTCCCAAGCAACACCTGCTGCAGAATTATACTAAATTGCTAAGCAACACAACCCCTTCTTTTAAAACTACGCTGTGTGGGCAAACAGTTGTATTGAGTAAGAAAGGTTACTTGTTGTTGGGTGGTACCAAGCAATTTACACAGCATTTCTGACCCCTAGCAAACAGGGGATGGGGATTTGATGTCACATCCTGCACAGCACAGAGGGAAGAGCTGAGTGTAATTCGAGACCTGAGTGGAGGGAAAAAACAAACTTCCCTCCACATAGTCTTATAGGGAAACAAGCACAGCTGAGGCTGTCAATCTGTTGCTGTGTTCCGGAGGAGGGAGGCTGTCTCCTGGCATTGCCTGGTGTCAGCATAGATTGTCAGAAGTGACTCATGCAGAGAGCAGAAGACTGACAGAGTATACAGAATTCATACTAGGGGCTTTGGATCAAAGCAAGTACACATTATAGAAGGATATCCTGTGTTCGTTTTTTTATTTCAGAGATTTACAACCACTTTAATTTTAAGCAACTGCATATGAACTCTATATCAAGTGCAAGCTATACTCAGTACAGCTGTTAATTATTTATTCTGAATATTACATTTTTCATTTAGGTGCAAGAAGTTACACTGTATAGCTGTTTAAAATTTGCTGTCAGTCTTTGCAATGAGTTTTATGAAATACAGCATATAAAAATATATAAGGCAACTCGATGGCCTAGTAGTTAGTGCTTCTGCTTTGAAGCAATGGGGTCCTTGGAGCCTAGATTGTAATTTCCTTAAAGGCAAGGACTGATGTAAATGTACAGTATGCAAAGCACTGTGTAAATTGTTGGTGCTATACAACTACCAACAATAAAAAAATACATTTAGCTATAGCAAAGTGGTCAATTATTTAAAAAGCAATGAAATCCTATATTAGACATTGTAACATTGTAGTTGCCAGTATCATGTTTCTAAGCCAGTATGCTAATTTTCCAACGAAATGAACCTTATTGAACTGAATAATTTACAGCAAAGGGTTTTCTTCCATTACTCGCTATATCTCCTGTTCCAATTCAATTGGAAACCATACAAATAGAAAATTCAAAAGCCTACCCCATGTAATAGCTCAATTTTCAATTATATGTATTCTTTAAGTGTTTTTTAGTAGTTTGGATAGAGTAGGGAAGAGTTTGCAACCCTGCCAGGTCTTTATTACTGTCTATGTCTCTGCTGGTGAGACTCACCTTCTCTTTTTGACCTTATAAATGCATAATATATTTTGTGTATAACTTCCCATAGTCCTCTATACAATTAAAACCAGACTAAAAGTGGGGAGTATCAGCACTGTAAGCCAGTCAGACACTTCTGAACTGCACAGCGGGCTGTTTTTTTAACATGTTTGTTTGCCCTGGGGCCTTGGAGGGTTGTATTTTGGTAGCTAATAGGAAGTGAAGAACAAAAGATGGACCTCAGCATGGGGTGACGCTACAAGTAGATTGGATGGCTGTACATTTCACTGGGACGTGATATATTTATTAAATAATTCTTACAAACAAGTATAAAAGTTCATAGCACACAGAATAAAAGTGCAAAGATGTTACAGAAGTACAGAGAGATGTTAACAAGTCTCACACTCCATAGCACTTATTTTTAACATAAAGTAAACACCACATTTTGTCTCCTATATAAACTTCCAAAAAAAAAACACAGGTGTGGAAGTCACTGATCACTCATATATAGGAAAAAAATGGCCAAAAGTTAATAATACCAGGATGGAAATAAAAGTAAATGCGTAACAAAAATATAATCAAAAAGTGGTCCTACCCACATACTGAACTTTACATATTCTACACGTGATGATATAAACCACGTATATATTATTATAGTTGTAAAAAGAATTAAGCCTGTGATTTTTGCCACTAGAGGTAGAGACCACCCATCAAAATATGAGAACAACATGGCAGCTTTTATTTACCAATTTATAGTTTCCTTTAAAATGCAACCAGGTACTTCTTTGGGTACTCGTTGGATTGAAAAAACTGGGAGACAGGGTGTTTCCTAATGTGGGGGCTCTTCTTGAAACTTCGTTAATGCCATCTCAGGAGCTCAGCACAAATCTGATCTTGGAATAAAAGGGGTACATATCTATCTCTAATGCACCTAATTTGCTTGAACTCCAAACTTTTTGAGTATCTTTACATTGCTCTGGCTTCTTCACAAGAAGATCTGCTTTATTCTTACCTTTCTCTATGTTAAAGGCTCTATCCAACATCCACTTGTGATAACCACAGTTTAAAAAACGTGAGTATAGCCCAGGGGTGGGCAAACTTTTTGACTTGAGGGCCGCAATGGGTTCATATATTGGACCCGGGGGCCGAACCAAGAGTAGATGAATGATGTGTATGTGTCATCCATAGTAAGTATAGTAATATTCCCCCATAGTAAGCATAGTAATTAATCCCCCATAGTAATTAATCCCCCATATAGTAATTCATCCCCCATATAGTAATTCATCCCCCATATAGTAATTCATCCCCCATAGTAATTCATCCCCCATATAGTAATTCGTCCCCCATATAGTAATTCGTCCCCCATATAGTAATTCGTCCCCCATAGTAATTCATCCCCCCTATAGTAATTCATCCCCCATAGTAATTCATCCCCCATATAGTAATTCATCCCCCATAGTAATTCATCCCCCACATAGTAATTCATCCCCCACATAGTAATTCATCCCCCATATTAATTCATCCCCCATATTAATTCATCCCCCATATAGTAATTCATCCCCCATATAGTAAGTCCTCCATATAGTAATTCATTCCCCATATAGTAAGTCCTCCATATAGTAATTCATTCCCCATATAGTAAGTCCCCCATATAGTAATTCATTCCCCATATAGTAAGTCCTCCATATAGTAATTCATTCCCCATATAGTAAGTCCCCCATATAGTAATTCATCCCCCATATAGTAAGTCCTCCATATAGTAATTCATTCCCCATATAGTAAGTCCTCCATATAGTAATTCATTCCCCATATAGTAAGTCCCCCATATAGTAATTCATTCCCCATATAGTAAGTCCTCCATATAGTAATTAATTCCCCATATAGTAAGTCCCCCATATAGTAATTCATTCCCCATATAGTAAGTCCCCCCTATAGTAATTCATCCCCCATATAGTAAGTCCCCCATATAGTAAGTCCCCCCCCTGTGTCAATTCACTTACCTTTGGTCCGCGCGTTCCTCTCGTATTCCCGCGCCGTTCTGGTCTTCAGGGAGGACTGTGAGAGGAGTTCGTCACGCTGCCCCGCCTACATCCTGGCTGCCCCGCCTACATCCTGACAGCTGCAGAGTCCTGACGTCCGAGAGGAGGGAGGGGGGCGGCCACCGAGAGGGGGGGGGCGGCCATCCGAGAGGAGAGGAGGGGAGAGGAGGGAGGGGAGCGGGCGCCCGGCACACAGGAGAGCCGCATCTAAATTTGTAAAGAGCCGCGGCTTGCCGACCACTGGCCTTGCGGGAGCCTAGCTCCGCGGGCCGGATTAAAAGGTCCGCCGGGCCGTATACGGCCCGCGGGCCGTAGTTTGCCCATTGCTGGTATAGCCCAAGAGATTCCTGTT